AAGGGAAGTGCTTGGATCGGTGGGGGAACGGATCCAAGCGTAATGCCATGCAAAGGCGCTAAGAGCGCGTTGGCAGACTCTCCGGCAGATTGCGATAGCACTCGTAAGGGCATCCGTCTGGACCCGCCGAGGAATCCCGTTTCTGATGCTTCAGGAAAAAGGTTAGATATGCCGTGATAGCCGGGTTACTAACATATTGGGTTACCATTCTCTTATGTATCCATAATACAATAACTCGTCAGATAGGTAAGTGGGTGTTGAAGGATGCAGGCGAAGAACAATGAGGACTTGTGGAACATGCAAACTGGAAACTCAAAAGTCTTTTGCTGATTAGCCATGCCTATGTCGCCTGGAGGCTGGGTCTGGAACAAACACAAGCCCCGGTTCATGACCCAAAGACAAGAGTGATAAGAGTGAACCTGGCTGCCTGTACTCTGGTGGCTTAGTCTCTGGCTACCAGACTAAATCCTCAGTGAGTCGGCGCCAGTCGGACTTTATTCCCAAACACCTGGATTCTTCGAATACTTCGTGGCCGCTTCAGACCACTATATACCTCAGCAACAGAAAACCTTGTGAGCCACACACTCAGACTGCCGCCGTTGCTCGCATGCCAGCTCGAACTCCGAAACCATGAAACCCTGAACCCCTTTCAAGAAGAACCCATCAAGTTGGACCATCAACATCCTCCTGCCTTTCAAGTAAATACAAAGGATCCCAGCACTAGTGTCACTAATCCCATGCTAAAACTCTTTTGGACTCTTACTGGAACCCCAACCCAACGCCTCAGCCCAACCCTAAACCCACAGCCCCTTGGACGTGCGCTTCCGCGCCATGCGAACCAGGAAGGCCTCACGCCGATTCGGACTCGAAGTGCTGATGCAGGTATAGAGTGTATACTTATGCTTCACAAAAGTCTAGAGTCTCGGGTTTAGGGCTTCAGACTTCATAGGCTTTATAAATTAAAGGCTTTACGAGGGTTGTTTGAGGTTCTATGCTTTTCCAGCGTCATTTGCGTAGGCCTTCCTTTGGGCCGCAGTGTGCGCTGAATAGGCGCATGGACTCTGAGTGGAAGCTGTCATAGTATCACTTTGGCCGAAAACAGACCCAAAGCAAATGTCGAGCAGGGAATAGAGTACAGAGTTGTGCCTTCGGGGTGCCCTTCGGTTTAGGGTTAAAGCTCGAACCAACTTATAGAACAATCCTTAACTTAAAGTCTGAAGATTCCTGGGCTGACCACATCCCAACTAGATCGCGAGTATCCGGAATTAGCGACACCAGTAGAGACTTCAACATAAAGATCCTTTAAAGGGACTTAGCAAAAAGGTGCCCGAATCACGACACCTAGAGCGAATAGCCACCATGAGTACAAAATGTGCTCGAGGCCTTGAGGGCACGTTTGGTAAGCTTGTTGACTTGTCGGTACGCAAATGAATGGGTGGTTGTCAAAATCAAGGGCCCTTTTGGGGTACCCTACATATTAGGTGCCGTATTATATTAGGGACGCAAAAAGGGACCATAATTTTGACAACCACCCAAATAGATGTGTCGAAAAAGCAAAGCCTCAACTGACAAATCCACAACGCAAGCGGTCACTTCGACGTAGAGACGCTGCTAAACCTGGTCCTGAAGCCCTATAACCGCCAGTGCTCCAGAAGATCTTGGAATTGGGCTGTGGAAAGCCTTTCATACGCATACAATACAGCCGGCCCTGAAAAACTTCGGGTTCGAAATCATGGTATGGCAACGTCAAGAATCGGAGGTCCCGTACAGATTGGAAGTAGTGTGGACGGTTGGTGCGACGCCATGCTGACTGAAGCGTGAGACTCTTGCGGAAGCCCTAGTCACTAGTCCTGGAGGCAAAAGCTGCAACCATCGCAAAACTTTTGTCTGAGCCATGCCATATGGTCTCGACCCGAAACCCAAAATCCTAAACCCCTGCAGCCGGCCCAAGTGTCACTATAAAGGAAGGAGCCTCTCCCCGGGCTGCTGCCGTGGCCATGGTGTCGGTCGGCCTAGGATTTCAATGTGGAAAAAGAGGGACCCTTAATGGGGACCCCTAGCCTATAATGGGCTATATAATGGGTATATAAATGCTATATTAAGGGTATATACTTAGGGGTCCTTTTTAAGGGTCCCTCCTTTTACCCTTGGAGGATTTACTCCGAAGGGTTCAAAAAAGCCTAAACGCTGTGGCCGCAACAATTGGAGTTGGCTTTTGAGGTGCCTTGTAGTATCAGTATATTAAGGAACTCAAAGGAATACTCATGGTTTTCGTGATTCCGACCCCGATATTTTGTGATCGACATCAAAAGCCCCCCAAATTCTGGTTTTCGTCACTGCCGCATAACTGCCACTTCCCGAAGCCCACCTAATGCTGGGACCCTAAAGAACCTACCTTTTTGAGGTTCAAGTTCCCCATTATGATTTTGTATTATAGAAGTCCGTCAAAAGGTAGGTTCTTGCGGGTCCAGTGAACCCTAAACCAGGTAACAGGGCCTTGACGGCTACTCTTCAGACTTTCTTTAGTCAGATGGTGTGGGGCTGAGAGATTGCAAGCATGGCTTGCTATCCTGCGGGCTGAAGCCAGCAATTCTCCTTGTTTTTTCACTTCCGAAAGATGGCTTGAATGGTTTGAAATACCATGAAAGGACAAGTCTACGGCGTCGTCACACTTTTACATATGTGCTGTGGGCTTATGGTTAGTTCTTGTCAGAACCAGGGTTCCTTTATCTGCAGCTACACATGTTCCCATCATAATGCTGCTATTCTGGCAGCCACATATTGCGTCATGTTGCTCAAAGGCTACGTCATCCTTTGAATCAATGCCTGAATCAGGAGAACCTGAAGACATGCGAGAAAACAACTCCTGCCGTCCGCGCAGCTGATTCGCGGCGTCGTTGGGATTGGGTGCCGCCGCGAGGGACGGAAAGAGGTTTCCGAGAATCACAGGGAACGATCCTTCGAATGCACATCTATGCCTTGTCTTCAAAATACGGCTAAGAGCATCAATAGCAGCAATAACCATGATAATGACACGAAGAGCAAGAACAACATCAATCAGAGAATGACATGTAGTTACAAGCTACTGGTACAAGTAGTGCTGACAATAATAACAACTTGAGAGTAATGACAATAGCAATAACAATATCAATAACAACAATCATACTGATAGTAAAAGCGATATTAATATTCATAGGCAGCATAACTAATCATAATCATACTCATCACGGTTATGAACATGAGTAGCAGGCTCAGTTGTTCAGAATGCTAACATGTCGAGTCTATGTTAGGGGTTCGTGGGCTTCTGCAGCCCTTTTGCAATCCTAGAGGGGCCTTTGTTGTTGCAATAGCGTTTGGGCGTAAATTGGAGAGAACTGTCAGAATGGATGAGGAGCCCTTTCCCATGGCATTACCCTGGTACCGACTACAGACTCCGACCCCTATACCACCTGCTTGAGCAAGAAACCGAATGGACTAGCCTTCCGCGGCTTCAGCGCGAGCATCATCATAAGGTCGTGATCTTGAATCCCCAGACCCAGACTCAGAACTTCAAGGGTTACGAGTCGAGGAGAGATCCCCGAAATCTTTTCTGCTTGCAAAGAAAAAACCCAAGTATGAAAAGCAAACAGAAAGAGCCTTTAAGAACAGGGTTTCCTCGGAGTGGGACTCTGGCCGCTTATCTGCATGGTGAGAACCAGATAGACAAGGTGAATTTCGGCGAAGGCCATGCAGCTTTCCAAAGGCTTATTATAGGGTTCACAGTCCACGTAATCTCGGGCTTGAGAGCACCTCAGGGATGGGATGTGGAGGGTCCCAGAGATTCCAATATCCCTCGACTAATAGTTCAGGAATATGCCGTGAATTATCGTAGGATCCCCAATATGATTCAAGGCATATTCCGTAAATAATCGGGATTCTGGTGTCTCTGGGTTTCAAGGGTTCTGCAAGGGTGCCGAAGCAGTAAGCCCTGCCACATAAGAGATTCCCGCCTGGCAGAGTAAAGTTCACGCCCCAGGCCTCGTATGAGCACTTCTCCAGAGGTTCGCTTGAAAGCTTCTAGGGTTCTAGGGTCCAGGGTTCAGGGGTTTAGGGTCAAGGGAACTATGCTCTAGCACAAAGTTGGGTACTTAAAGGGTCATGGGACTTAGTAACTAGAGTTATAATTAAGGTGAGTATAACTACTTATAACCCCAACTCAGGTACTCATAGCCTTACTTACTAAGTCCCATGATCCTTCAAGTAGGTGATGTCTACTTGCTACCCTAAACCCCCTAAACCCTAAAGCGTTAGACATGCTGCTTCACTGGAATGGTTGCACAGCGGCTACATAATGTGGAACCCTACAAATGTACATCTTTTGGTTTGCAGTCCAGGTCTTCGCGACTTTTGAGTGGTTACGGCGCAGTGTGTAAGGTCAAGGTTTTCGGGATGGGTGATTTGCGATTACCTATAAAGAGTACCGATATACCTCGTAGCACGGGTATGTAAGACGAGATGATAGTAGTAAACATCCATCTGTTTAGATACCTGTCTTCCTCTCGGAACCCTAAGCCCCTGACCGCGAAAATCTAAAACCCTGACACCCTAAACCCTAATCCCTAGACCCCTTAACCGTAAGCTCCTAAATTCTAAACCCCCAGACCTTCGACCACTAAACCGTAAGCACGACATCAGCTGGTAGTGATCTGCTTTTGCGCTTTGGTCTGCTGAGTTGAGGGTGGATCCGGGGTCTTGTTGAATGGATCTAGGGTGTAGGGTGGGGTTAGGTGCTATTTAGGCTTTAGGGTTTATTCAGCGTTTGAGATTTATGGTTTACGGCTTTAGGGGTTCAGGGCGTATTTACAGGGTTCGGGATTTAGAGTTAAGATCTAGGTGAGGGGTTGGAGGGTTTCGTGATTAACTTCCTGAACCACAAACCCTCAGTCGGCAGATACTCGGATCGTTGCACATCACTGGCCGGCTCTGATAGAACCCTTCCCTGAATCAATTGCCGACTCTTCTCATTTCTGATTCTTTAGAGCACTGACTGGAGGTCCAAAGCTTCCGTAGCGAGCGGCGAAAATGTTGAAGACTCGCTCGCTGGTTTCGGCGCTGCCGGCATCCGGGCTTGATGGCTCTTGGCTGTCACCTGGGGCTTACAAGGTTTCAGCGTTAACGCTGTTAACGGTTTGATATACTTTCCCAGCTCTCACGGGCCTGGCACTTAAGACCCAGGTTTTGAAGGAAAAGGATAAAGGCCGCAGCCAGTATGGGATTTCCGGCTGTTTGGCTTCCGGAATTTCGAGGTTGACGATCTACCAGCACTCCCAAGTACCTGCTTTGGCAGGCAGCTCGATTCAAGAAATGAAGATGGTTGCAGGGTACACCTAAACCCTAAAGCATCCCAAGCCCTAGCAAAGCACAAAAGCCCAAATCTGTTGGACTTCCCAAGGCTTCGGTGTGCCAGTGATGGACAAAAGCCGCGGCTCAGATCAAACAACAACGTCGCAGACCCAAACCATAGCCCTTGACACCCAAGCCTCAAGATCCCAAAACCATGTTCAAACCCTGCCATGATCCTCAAAACCCTACATGCTTGGCATGAGCTCCATGTAATAAGTCGTTGAACATGTTCAGGGTATGCTATCTGAGCTTCAGGTAAACCCTGAAATTCTAAGGGTTGCTATGTTAGACCAGAGCCCTAACCCCTAAACCCCAAACCCCAAACCCTAAACCCTGAAACCCTAAACCCTAAACCCTAATATAAACTTGAAGCCACGAGAGCCCCTGAACATACCACCGGGCCCCGGATGGCTTTAGGGTCGTATAGGATTTTAGTAGTTTACGGTTCTGCGGCTTCTGGGTTGGGGAGCTGGATGCAGGGTTTAGAGGTTTAGGTTGGTTTAGGGTTGAGGGTTCTGCGTTTAGGGCTCAGGGGTGCTTACTGCTCGGGGTTTTGAGGTTGAGGGGTTTATGGTTAAGGGCGTCGGGTTGAGGTTTAATCAGTTTCACTCTCTTCTATCAGGGTTTAGGGTTTAGGGTTTAGGGTTTAGGGCTAACCAGATGTCTACATTCGGGCTTAGGACACAGGAAGGCCACCGGCCACCAAACCCGCAGAGTCGTACCAGGGGGCTTGGTGACAGCTCCTCGTCGGCAAACCGCACTGTGCTCTGGCGCTTGTTGACGCGCGTTGAAGACGCCTCTGTACGGGCAAAGACTTGTCTTGAAAGAGTTGCAAAAAATGAAATCGGAATCCGTACGCATAGAGGCTAGCTGCTAGTAGCAAGCCTGAGCTCCATTTCAGAAAGCCTCTATAGAATCGCGAAACACTAAACACAAGACCTCCGAAAGGCTGACCCCACACACATACATGGCAGCTTCCTGCTTGGAGATCTGGAATCTGGACCCCCAAGGCTTCGCAGGCAGGTGCAGGATCCAGATACGCTCAACCTTTCAACCAACATGCTGCAACCCCGAAGTCTCCAAGAAACCTATGCAAACAAAGCAACAAACTATAAGAATTGAGACTTTTAGGGTGGTTTAGGATTCTAGACCCTGAATGCCCAACTACTGCTGCCGCTGCAGTCTTGTACACCCTATATAGGCCTCCGAGCTATAGGTCGAAACTTTTGAGGTTACAATCCAGGGCGTGGCAGGCGCCTCCTGATCGGGGAAGAAGGCCGGTGTCCTGCAAAGTGACATGCTCATGGCATCCCTGAACCGTAAACTAACGGTTACTTTTTGACCCAGGGATCTCTACTCTGCTTGGTCTTAGGGAGTTGGCGAAAACAGACAAAACATTACCGAAACTTTGACATGAAGGTACATAGCCGCAACCGAATGAACACCCGAATGAACACCCGAAGGGTTACTTGGAGGGTCGGGGGACTAGTAAGTAGGTAGTAAGTAGACTTATAAGCACCCTCAAAGGGACCCTAATTGGGGTCATGATACTTATAGGCCTCTAAAATAGCTACTTACTCAGTCCCCCGACCGTCCAAGCAATGGTAGTAGCTCCAACAATCCGAAGCAGCCTCCAACCCTGAATTCAACAACCCCAAGTCCACCAAAACTACGGTTTATAATATATACATCCTGCATTACCTTAACTACCTTAGACTATGGGAATTCTGGTAGTTTCCTCATTGTGGGTAGTGCAGGGTTTATATCATCAACCGTAGCAAGAACTCCCAAGCAGCCTTCACAACCCCAAACCCGAAACCTTATAAGACCTATAAACCTCAATCAAAACCTACAAGCCATGAAGCCCTCAGCATGGCTCTAACACTCCACACACACACACACAAATCCGGCCAACTCTTTAAACGGCTGTATAGAGTCAGCAAGGCCCCAAAACCCTGGTTTGGCCTGCGAGCTGGCGTCTTGGGCGTCTTCGGGGTGCGGCCCTTCCTGGGCTTTAGGATGTTGGAAGGCTTTTTACTAACTGGCCCAAAACCCAAGGAAATAAAAGTTGAAACTTTCAGAACCGACTATCTTATAAGAACCCCAAAAGTTGAAAAGTTGAGTTTACAGCCAATAAGTTTATCAGGTGCTGTAACAAGGCTTCATGGGGAGTTCCGTGGGCTTTGCTAGTGTTTAAGGTTGCTTGGCCTTAGGGTTTATAGGGCTTTGGGCATCGAAGCTTGGGGTACAGGGGCTTTGCGCCTTTAGGGCGTGAGGGGATTTCGCGTTACATGGCTTTGGGGTTGATGGCTGTCGCGGCTCTGGGCTTCAGGGGTTCCGAGCTTGAAGGAGTTTAATTGGTCAAGGACTTAGGGTCTCAAGTAAAATGTAAGCCTGTGTGAACTCCAAAACCTAAACTCAAGTAATCCAAATCGGCACTGGATACCCTGAAACCCACAAATACCTTGAAGCCTACCCACCCAACTCGCTCAAATCCTTTCCCCATGCCGGCAACAAAATTCTGATCCCGATGTAAACCCTGTTTACGGACTTCATTCTAATCACCTGAAGCCCCTGCAGCTCCACACCATCGACCTGAATGCACCGTAAACCCTAACACCCGAAACCTGCAAACCCCTAAAGAAGTAGACCCGCAAGACCCCTATTCAAAGGCCCCTCAAACCCACTAAGAACCCTGAACAACCCTGACACAAACCAAACAGTTAAACACCCTTAAACCCACTCAAAAACAAAAAGCAACTCAAACTCTTCTGCACAGAACCCCTTCAGACAACCCTAAAACCTTTCAGAAGTCCGTAAAAGCACCCTCAAACCCAGAACCACCGAAAAAAGAACTGAAGCCCTCTAAAACCCCTTTAAAAAACTGAAACCCTCTAAAACCCCTTAAAAGCACCCGCACAAAGGTCGGCCCCGCAACGCCAGCCTAACCCTATGCCAGCCTAACCCTAAACTCAATGCCCCTAAACCCCTGAATCCCTAAAAGGATCCCTTATAGATCCCAAAAAGGCGCCCGAAACCGCAAAACCCTAAACCCCTAATCCCTGATAGATTCCTTCAGGGAACCCTAAACCCTATAGAACTATAGACCCCTGAGCCCCTAAACCCTACATCATGAACCCCTAATAGATCCCTTAAGAGAGCCCTAAGCACTGTAGATCCCTATACCCAAAACCCCTAGACCCTAATACATCCATTCCTTAAGGCTAAACCCTATAGACCCCTAGAATCCTAGTAGATCCCTTAAAGGAACCCTAAACCCAATAGACCTCTAAAATCCTAAACCCCCAAAAGGTCGGCCCTGGAACGCCAGCGTTGGTGAGCTCGGACCGGCGAGTCGCCGTGGGGACGTGGGCGAGGCGGGGCCCTCAAAGGGGCGGCGTTTTTGCTTTTCTTGCTTTGGGCGGTAGGCACTCCTGCGACTCTGTGCGTAAGAACCCCTTTAAGGGAAGGTTGAGGTTTTAGGGTTTAGGGTTTGGGGGTTGAGGGCTTAGGGTTTAGCGTTTTGGGGGTTGAGGGTTTAGGGTTTAGGGTTTTGGGGGTAGAGGGTTTAGGCCTCACAGGTGCGGCTTTCGTTTTTGGTTGTTGCTTCTTGCTTTGGGGGTTCTCCTTTAAGGGAAGGTTGAGTGTTTTTGGGGGTTAGGGCTTAGGGGCTTTGCTGTGGGGTTCCTTTAACTGGTTGAAGGGAAGGTTGAGGGTTTGGAGTTTAAGGCTTCAGGTTGAGGGTTTGGGGCCGCTGGGGTTTAGGGTTCCTGTAACATTCTTCCTAGGGTTCCTTAAAATGATTATAGTATAATATACCCCTAAACCCTATTCTAATCATCAAAGCCCCAATAGTACACTTGCATGTCTACACACCAGCATCTAGTGCTTGATGGTGCAAGGCCGCAGGGCTTCACAGTCACAGACAATTCCAGGGTTGGTGGCGGATGCTGCCAGCTGCATTCTTCTACTTATCGTCCCTCACATCTTCAACTTATAGAACCTTTCCACAAAGTCGCAGCCCCGGAGCCCTAAAGCCCTAAACCCTAGAACCCCAAAAACCCCCAAGTCCTAAACCCTAACGACCCCAAACTCCAAGGGACGTTTTGTGATCCTGCCCTCACTGGATTCTTGTCAAGAGATTTAGTTTAAGTTACCACATTAAGGAAACCGTATTGTTTACTATAGAGCCCTATTATGATTACTTAAAGGAACCCTTACAGATCCCTTAAATGGAACCCTTATAGATCCCGTGTATGTTAATTCAAATTTCTTAAATCCTTTAACAAGAATCCCGCTTAGCGCCTGCAGGATTGTCGTCTTCGAGGCCTGACAAAGGCTTTCGGCTCCACAGCTCCTAAACCCGAACTGACCGCCATGAGGTTTGGGGTTTAGGGTTTAAACCGGGTTTAAGGCTACGGTTTAGGGAAGTTAAGGCAGTGGAGTTTAGGGTTTTGGTTTTTGAGCTCCTTCTTAATGTCTGCCATCACAATCGGACGACATCCCTCTAGGGTCTAGGGCTTAGGAAGCCAATGTTTAGTCACAACCCTGTGTTGCTTGTGATGTGCCCGGGAATGCTTGTATGACGGGCCTTGGGTGATCAGCGTTTTTTGGCTTGAAGTCCGGCGTCTGCTGCTGACAGAACCTAGTCTTTACCCTAAACCGTGCCATGCTTTCCGTCGGAAACATAGTTGCTGAGTTCATAAGCCCCAAAAGTGTACACGTTCAGTTTTGTAGTAGGTACTATTATCCCAAAAGTGTAAAGTGTATCCACTCAGCTACTAAGGAAAGCGGGTTCTTCGACAGTAGCTCTATCTGGGCCTGAGCCGAACCAACATGAAGCCCCACTCGTAAAGAAGGAGCGGAACCCAAAGCCAACACAAACCCCAAATCTCAGGCACAAGACCGAACTCAGAATTCGTGTTCACTCAAAATCCCCCCTCTACTTGTGAGATGCTTCGTTTCAATTCCAGTGAAGCTATGGCATGGGCTTAGGGCTGGCAAGTTTCTCACAGGGCCAGCTGTTATAAACTCCGGTTCAGAGTTCAGGGTTCTGGGCTTCCTACACCCCCCGGTCTCTTATCTCCACGGCCTGTGCCAGGCACATGAGCGAGATGGCCATGACTGCCTCAAGGATATTGGGGTTTCCGAAAACAGGGGACCCTAATTCAGTACCCTCGATAGTAGGATCCTCATTATAACGACACCAAAAAAAGGTACCCCTCATTTTCGGAAACTCCCATATGGGCCTCGGGTTGCCGCTGAACTAGGTAGAAACTCAAACGCCCCACAGGCCAAGTAGAAAGTCCTCCAAGCTGTCTTTCACCAAAGTTGCTCAGGCCAGTAGCGGCCCAATGGTTCCAAAAAACGCCCCAATCACACACAAGTTGGATTTCGGGGCTCCGATTCCCAACCGGATTGCGCCAGGATTGCGGTCGATATTCTTCCGATGAGGCTGATGCGTCCTTTTCATACAGACGGCTTCTTTTAAGGTGTGTGACTTAGGCCTGCAAGGTGCAAGCTTTGCTAGTTCTAGTGATCACTTTAGCCCTGAGGGAGATTCTCCTTCTTGCGGGTCTTCCACTGCAGGAGCTTGACAAAAGCTCCAACCCAAGCGAGGGATGTGCCGCTAGAATCGTGTGACAACCCGTATTGGAATGGTGGATGGTGCAATGGTGGTTGATTGCACCTAAAGTAGGGGCCTTAATAAATAGAATAGGGTTTTCTGGCCCATTATACTATAATTATAATAAGAAACCCCAAAAAATTAGTATTGGTAATTATTCAGGCCCCTACAGTAAAACTGATGCCGAAAGAATAACTAAGACCGCCCAGTCTGGGGTTGAAGGGGGTTCCCTAAAAAAACTGCTTGGAGAGTCTCTCTACAAGTACGCGGAAACCAAATGACTTAAAACTTATAGGATTTGGGCGTTATAGGTTTTAGGCATGTGCAGTTAAGGTCTAGGAGTCCAGGGTGCAGCCGAGATGCAGCTCGTTAGGTGCTTCTGCGAGGCTTGTGCAAGAAAGACTCCAACGGCTGCGGCGCGGCCCGAGTCGAATTCGCGTGCCAGGTCGCAAGCTTATGGAGGTTGACGCTCCAGGGATTTTCGGCTTTACGGGGCTTTCCTCATGATTCGCCGAAGAGTTCACCAAATAGGAGGTCACCAAGGCTAAATACTAACGTGCCGTGTACCTTCTGCGACCACGAATCACCACCACGTCCCCAGTATCAACACAAAGAGGCAGAAAGAGAGAGAGAGAGAGAGAGATACACATGAAACAGTACATAACTGTGCGTGCATATATATATATATATATATAGATATATACACACATAAAAACGTATAGACATGTATGTACATACATAAAGATACTGCTTATGTGTGTGTATCTGCATACATGCATACATACATGCGTACATACATACATATGTACGTGCATACATGCACACTATGCAGCGAACGAGTCTGAGCGAGAGCGCAAAAGAGAGCGACAGCGGTAACGCAGAAGACCCAAACTCGGCTCCTTCTCCTGGTGTCGCCAAGCTGCTGATGACCCCATGTCCGCTCAGGGCTTCAAGAGCCCTTGATGACGTTCTGAGGTTTTGGGTTTAAGGTTTAGGGTTCAGGTGTCATTGAGCGCCCCTCTGAGGCTTGTATAAAAGTTCAGGCTTTGGGGTTTTAGGATCCCTGTATAACAGAATTCAGGTATACTGCTAAACTCGGGGAAGTGGGCAGTTCCTGGTGGGGGGTGGCTCTAAAGGAATTGTGTGCGGGTTCTGATGTTCTCTGGGGGCCTGTGAGGATTCTAAAAAAGACAGGTTGTAGAAGGGTTCCTGCATGAGTCTCCAGAAAACTCCTAGAGTGATCCCTATCGTAGCTTGAAAATTTAGGGTTTACCTAGACCCCCCAACTACCCTCTATTAAACCCTAAATACCAACTATTAACGGCCATAACGGCTCCATTAAAGGACACTTGGGGAGTCCTGGTAGGTCTAAACCCTAAACCGTGTGCTGTGGGCTTGGATTCGGGAACGCATGCTCGAAGTACGATGATGAACAACGCTACTCCGCGGAATCCTCAGCCCTTGCAACAAGGTCTGGAATCATGAGAACATGCCTCAAGGATGATGTGGGAAGTGCATGCGCGATGGATTTCACGGGAGGGGGACCCTAAAGCTTAAACCCCGTACCCTATGGGCTCCTGGTTGTGCTGAAAAGCAAACTTCTGCCCTCTGGTCGGATACCTATGAACGGTATGAGCCAGTAGAAAGAAGCACACCTAGCTGCTTGAGCCACAGATCATGCACGACTTCTGAAGAAGAGCCTAGCGCTCGCGGCTTTGGGTTTTAAGAAGGGCTCCCCAAAACCATACACTGCACGATGTGAAACCTCTGCAACACTACAGCTTCGAATTCTGCACAACAGCCGCCAAGCCGGTGACACCAAGGTGATCACCCGACAGACATTCCAACCCCAAGCCCAAAGCCCTAGACACACGCACACGCGCACAAAATCAAAAATCAACCGCTCAAGCCCTAGCCGACAACAGCCCTCGAACCTGAAGTTGGAAACTGTGAAAAACAACAACAGCAACAGCTGAAATGACAAAAACAACTACACATGCACGCAACACTTTCGGACCGATAGCGATAGGTGCTTTTATGCCCAGATAACACATGAGAACAGGGAAAGGACATCATCAACCAACAACATACAGACCGAAGCGACCTTTTGCGACGACAGCAGGATAAACCCTAAACCCTAAGCCGAGGACCCTAAACTGTCTCCCCTCAACCCCGAACCAAAGCCCTCAAGACCTAAACCCTCAAACCTAAGCCCCACTGTTGATGATATGAATCCTGCATTACCCATCATAATAAGGAATCTACCATAATTCCCCCAGTCTAGGGTCACTAAGCTAATGCAGGTTTTATATCATCAACCGTAGTACTGATAATTATACCCCATGCCTCCATTCCCCAATAACCAAAGGTAAGTAAAGCCCTAAATCTTGACTCCTACTTTCTTTAAGCCGCGGAGGGAGGATGGGGTGACCTTTCTTGTCCTTTCCTCGTAAAGCTGCCGGCTCGGCCGCCTGCTCGCCAGGGTGTATGGCTTGGGTTTAGGGTTTAGGGTTTCGGGTTTACGGTTTAGGGTTTAGGGGGTTTAGGGTTTGGGGTTTAGGGTTTAGGCTTTAGGGTTTGGGGTTTAGGGGTTTGGGGTAAAGTTTAGGGTTTATGGCTCCCAGAGTCCAAGTACCCAAATAGTAAGGTTTTAGGGCCCAAATTCCATACACTGAATGGTTTCTGGACCCTGAAACCCTAGTATTTGGGCACTTGGACCCTTAGGGGCTTGGGGCTGGCAGAGGGATTTGCTTTCAAAGATTTTGTAGAAGGGCTTCAAATGGTTGTAGAGGGATTTGTTTTCACCGATTTTGGTAGAAGGGCGTCATACGGTGTTGGAGGATTCTACAAGTTATTTGGGTTCTTTATGTTTCTTTTCATACGGGTTTCACGAGCTTTCTAAGGTCATAATACCGTAGAGTCAGGGCTTCGCAATTTGAGGGTCTTTGGGGAGATTTCTTCGGCTTTCAGGTGTCGGGCTAGGGGCTTGAGGGCCCAAGCTTTCGGGCTTTAGGTTAGCCAAAGGCTCTCGGAGCGGGAAAGGTGATTTGCACCGTCTTTTGGCTCGTCAGGGCTTGGGCGCGTGGGTGCGCTATCCGGGGATGCCTTGTTCCGTAGTCCGTAATACTAGTAGCCTGTTGTTTTAGGGTTGATGGTTCTGCGGCTGAAGAGTTTAGGCTCGTACCTATAGTCTCCAGTGTAATTCCTTTTTGGCTTAACCAATAATTTTGTATGTAGGATCCGATAAGGTAACCCCCAAAAAGGACCTACAATGGAGACTGTAGATAGACCCCAGACCCGAAATCCCAAAGACCAACATAAGACACTCTGAACCCTAAACCCGTAGGTAATGTGACAACTACAACTACACACTTGGAGGATCATGGGACTTAGTAAATAGGGATACAAGTACCTCGATTGGGGTTGTGAGTTATTATAAGTATAGTTACCTTAATTGTAACGCTAGTCCGCCCGCTAGTTACTAAGTCCCATGACCCTTTAAGCGGGGGTCCCTGCTCCGACCTGGGTGATGGGCTGTGGGTTGAATACTTTCCCAAAGGGTCCCAAGTACCTATGCGGTAGAATGTAGGGTTTCTATATTAGGAATTACTACTATGAGTTGGGGAAGTATCCGCCATGTTAGTAATAGAACCGTTTGGGTTTGTCGTCAAGCACATGCGAGGGTTCACATGAAACCATTCCCCTGCCACCTGAACCTGAATGCTGCACGCTGAGCCATTGTTTCAGACCCTCTCTGGAACACAAAACTCTCTAGTTTGGGATAGATGAGAAGAATGCAAATCTCTCTCGGTCTCCGTCTGTCTGTCTGTCTGTCTCTCCGTCTCTCTGTCTCTCTCTCTCTCTCTCTGTCTCTCGCTCTCTCTCTTTCTCTATCTATCTATCTATCTATATATATATATATATGTACATTAAATATGTATACATACATACATACATACATACATACGATATTATACACCCACGTACACACAAGCACACTGTTTTTTGGACTTCGGCTACCCTAAACTCTAAACCCTGGGAAGCTGGTGTAATTCTGAGTTCGACCCGAAGCCCTGAGACCAAAAAGGCCTCTTCAAGCTGTTGAAGGGCAGCGCAAGCGAACATCTTGCAAAGTGCCGCCCCCACCTCCGAGCTATCCACAGATGTGAGAGGTAACATCGGATAATCAGTGTTCATACTGCGAAAGCTAACAAAACGAGTAGCAATGGTAGTTGTGATATTAGCAGCAACTCAATCAGTCAATGAATCAAGCATTCAGGTCGAACCTTCTCTTTCACCTCACTACGAAGTTTTAATTTGGGATTCAGCCCAAGAAAGTTCAGGGCGTGGCGATAGAGGTCTCTCAGCATAAAGTACATCCCCGACAGTTGGTATCTGCAAAACATGTTTCATGCTGGTCGTTCTTATAGTCGCTTTTTTCGGTTGTGAGGATACTGAGCTGCACTTTGATGGCATTTACTGAGTACAATTTACTG